CGGGAAATTCAAATCCTGGGCTTCATTTGCAAGTGCGGTATGCCTACATTACCCTCCTAGTTCGAACTAGGAGGGTAGTGTAGACATACCCTTAGATGGTGAATGTAGGTTCGTATTTAGACTCAGATAACAGTGTCTCTTCAGTTGGTTGTTTTGCTCTGGGGATGGGGAAGCATTTTAAGGAAGATCCTTTAAAATTGTTCCTGGTTTATATTTTATTTCATTTTTATTTTAAATTGGAAGCACCTATACCCTCCTAGTTCGAACTAGGAGGGTAGTGTAGACATACCCTTAGATGGTGAATGTAGGTTCGTATTTAGACTCAGATAACAGTGTCTCTTCAGTTGGTTGTTTTGCTCTGGGGATGGGGAAGCATTTTAAGGAAGATCCTTTAAAATTGTTCCTGGTTTATATTTTATTTCATTTTTATTTTAAATTGGAAGCACCTAGAGATTATGAACAGGTGCAGTAAAATGAATTACATAAAATGCTTTTTAAAAACAGAGCATTTGAAAATTAGCTCCCTCAGGACATGCCAAGTCCTGAGCTTCTGGATTTGAATTTCCCATATCAAAATGCCTAACACAAATCCAATCCAAAGCCCATTGACTTCCACTGACTTCAGTGGGTTTGGATCAGGCCTACGGAACGGGAAGTATGCTGCACTCCATGACTTGTTAAACTTGTTAGAAAAAGAGTGTAACATATCAAATCTACAAATTAACAAATATATTATCATCAACTTCTCACTAACCTCTTTTGGCAAAGTTGAGTTGAAATTGAAGATTTTTAGTATGACACTTTATAATAAGACTATGTTGATGTGCTTAATGCAAATAAAATATGAATATATACAAAGAATGTTTCATGCTGACCTTCTGATTGGGCATTCATGATCTTCCTATTTTTATCTGTGCTACCAATAGAGCATAAAGAGTTCTGTACAATTTATCTCTCTCTCTCTCTCACACACACACACTTTTATAGACAATAATAGTTTGTAAAAATGAATACTACACCTGGGCTACACCTGGGATAAGGGATCTTTCGGAAAAGGCTTTATTTTCCGCAAGATCCGCGTCTAAACTGGCACTTTTTTCCGGCAAAGCTCTGTGCCGAAAAAAAGCGGCAGCCATTTTTATGCTAATGAAGCGGGGAAGATTTAAATCCCCGCTTCATTAGCAATTGCGATACGTCTAATTTGCATCCCTTTTATGAAAAAGGGATACAACCTAGACGTAACCCTGGAGTACATGCAATTTTGTTCAACTAAAAATTTAAAATTCAGATTAATAATACATAGCTCCTACAGCTCCTATGCTTTAGTCTTTTGGGAGTTATATAACAATCCCAAAGCCCTTTATAATCATTATCCCCATTTTAAAAATAGGGACCGTGCGGAAAGGGCCATAAGTGTCTTGACCATTTTCACAGAATAAATCAGTGTCAGAGCTGGGAAGAAAGCTCACATCCCTGACTCTCATTTCTATGCCATATCCATTCATTGCTTCCCTTAACAAAATCCATTTAATGGAGTTCCACTATGCGATAGCAAGATTGCAGTTGTGATTTTGGCCAGGTGTTCAATCTGCATATTGTATTCTTATATAACTTGACATTGGACAGGTTGGGGAATATAGAGATTGGGGTTCTCTGATCATTCCATACAGATCTTTCCTGGTGTTTAGGTTCAGACTGACAAGTACTGGTATCATTTTTAAAAAATCATTTTCAAACAGTTACTGATATCTGACATTAAAACTTTCCCTGCAATCAGAATAGAAAATAACTGTACAAATTGTGTAGTATCTATTGGTAAATGTTGATTTTAAATGGTGATCACTGTATTCTACCTCCCACACGATAGCTGAGCACAAATATTTCTGACACTGTGCTCTCTGCTTCATTTTTTTTTCTTAGCCCTTCCAGTATTCAGTCTGTCTCTGCCAAGTATTTCTGTTTCCCCTCAGACAATTTCTCACCTTGTACTGGATGTCCTGGAGAATTTCTGTTAGGGCCTTTAGGCCTAAATGTTCCTTTCCTATCTGAAACATAACAAACAAACAAGCAAACCCAAAAATGAACTTCACTGCTGTGTTGTTCCTGAAAATTAAGAAAAAGGTCAACAAGTCTGGCCAGTTCAGTGCTGGTTTGTAGCTAAGTTAAACAATCTTGGATTCACCAACTATTCTGTTACATGGCAACTTCAAACAAGAAGTATTAATTCACATAGAATAAAGACATTGGCCAGAATGAAACTATAATTAAGTAACTTTAAATCATTAACAGAAATTGACAGAATAACAAAAAATAAAAGTCAGAGTTAAGCCTGAACTCAGCTTGTATTGACTCACTAGTACCACACATGCTTCATGTAAGAGTCAAAGTCATTGTGAGATAGAAATGCCAAGGCTACAATTTGTCCTTACATGTTTTCATCAGAAAAGTACATAGAAAAGAACTGAGTACAAAGGCATGAAGAAACCTTCGAGTGTGTTTGGAGAGTACTGCATGGCTGAGGCTGTGTGTTCTACTCCTTACTGAGATTAACCTCTTGTTGATGCTAATGAGAGTTTGCTTGGAGGAAAAGTGCAGAATCATAGTTCACCCTTTTCGTCCCCATCCCACACACATACACACATATCCCTTTTACAGTCCAGGGGGTGAAATACTGGCTTCATTCAAATCAATGGCAAAATGTTCCCATTGACTTGAACAGTGCCAGGGTTTCACCCCACATCTTTATTAAATATCTTTGAGAAGAGGACAAAAGACATCTATAGAAAGAAACATTTAAAATGAGAGATCCTGATTATTTAATGCATGTAATGCAGGTAGCCAGGTTACTTTGTAGAATCAGGGCCTGATTCTAACCTGAGATATATACATATGCTCATATTATATATACATGCACACCTGCCACTGATGTTAGGAAGAGCTAACATCATGTACGGGGGCACAAATGCATTCAGATAGTTTACAAAATGACATTTAAATGCAGTATGTTTCTGAGTTAGGTATATAAGCACTAGTGGAGCAGCATGAGCTTACTTAAAAGAAAACCTACAGAAACAAAAAACTTCACTGCACATACAATTATCCCCCCAGGAGAGGATGAGAGAAAGAATAAACCACATGTGAGAGGTTACTCACATTGCTTAATGCATTATTGCAAGGTGCTCAGAGACTAAGTTTGTGAGAGGGCGTGAGAGACTTTATAGCACAGAATCATAGATTCACAGTTTTCTAGGAGTGAAAGAGACCATTATGACCATCTAGTCTTACCTACTGTATAACAAGGGCAATAGAATAAAATATGGGGAGCATTTTCAAAAACACATAAGTAACCTAGGAGTACAGGACCAATTGACTTTGATTTAGTAGGGTTCATGTTCTTAAGTAGGTATGTTGAAAAGCCCTCCTTAAAAATCAGGAACTCTTACAACTTCTTTGGCTTGTTTTTTATGTCACCTGATTTCAACCAAGCTGTTCCTAATTTACATCATTCATTGTAGAGCAGAACAAGATCCCCATATTTTTTATATTCCTAAGAAAGCTGTCAAGATTAAAAGACCTAAAATTTGACTTTTTTCTAATCTGCCATATATTTATAAATGCCTGTCGGGGGGGACTGGAGTGCAGGGAGAATTTGAATCAAGACAGAAATGTGTGTGTGGGAGGGTTTAACACCCAACACTTCAACTGATTAGTATTGGAAGTGTTAGGGCATGTGCTTGTGCATATAGGTATTAAGAAAGGAAAAAGTTTCAGTAGGAGATAGATTTCATTTTGGAAACTCCATAAAGCAATTATGAATGACTTAAAAAATCATTATTTTGGCCTTTATTAGAAGCGAAAAGAAATGTGACTTAATTTGTTTTCTCGCTGGATCATTAATAAATAGCATAAAGCAAACTAGGATGTTTCTTTAGTCATTTTTTAATTATGTGGAGCTTTTTTGGCTACTAAGAAAACTCCATGGACTATTTAAAGTGAGACACAGAAGTAGAAAAAATATATAAGTTTCAAATATTTATTTAAGCATTGTACATAATTTTCGAAGTGACTACAAGGTTACCTCTAATGGAATTAGAAGGTAAGTTACATGATCAAGTTGGACTTGAACTTCTAGGATATAAAACTGAGAGAACTGAGAAATTATAGCATTACTGTTCAACAATTCTGTCTCAGTGATGAGATAGTACCAGTGCACCTTTACATCCAAATAGAGGTTAAATTCAGAGGTGCTCCGAAGCTTATTATGGAATATGACAAATTTATAGTGCAACAGTGAAAGAAAATGCATTTGAGCTAAATGTGAATTATAACTCTCTTCTTTGAACCTCCTTAAACAGAACAGCTTGCTGCTTTCATAGACTAGGGCTGTGTGAAATTGATGGTTTGGGTTCATGAGGGAAGTGAGGGTTGAAAATCAAAACCGGTAGGTTTTGTTCCTAGGTTCAGAGCCGTTGAAACCCCCATCAGTGTCACTTAGAATCTGGGAATCACAAGAACACACAATTAACTCCCGGGGACACCAACAGGCAACATGCCCCTTTATTTTTGACTTTTCAGGAAGGTCTGCCTTGTGATCACCAACCAGTGGTGGCATCTCCCAGTCCAATGTCTCTCCCCACCTTATCTTCCTGTGCAGAGGCCACACTACACTGGTGTCCTCCTGACTAACACAAATGTTCTACATGGTTACCCCTATTGGCAGCCCTGGTCTGTACTAGAGAGCCAGGGAGTAAGTGGAGACTTATCCACACAACGCTCCTCCCTCCCATCCTTCCCAGGACCTGAACAACAGGACTGGCCAAGAGTGAAAGGGAGCACACTTTAAGTAGACACAGTCTCTCAGAGCTTGAGGAGGTATTGTATCCCAGAAGCATACCACCTCCTTCTTGTCCCGCAGGTGCACTATGATTCCACACCTGTTACATTTACAGGTAGCTCCATGCCTCAATACACAACAGTTGCGGGCAAGAACGTAAGAGTTTCCTTTTCCAATTGAAATTCCAGGGTGAATTGAAGTAAACAGGATGTAACTAGCCAAGAAGCTTGGCAGGAACATCAGCATTAACAGCCTATTTTTTAAAGGCTGCTCTCAGACTTTGAAGTCAGCACTTCAGTTCTTTTACAGCACCTGCAGCAGCACAGTGTCAGCTAACATGTTGGTCTTCAGTCCTGACTGAATGAGAAGGCAGCATGGCACCCAATCCGGATTGCCAGTACCACTTCCTGCCGCCACCTAAGTATTCTTTAAAGGTGAGTCCTCCAAGTACTGACCATGCCCATTGCTGTTTAGCTTATATGGCATGACAGGTTGTAGGACAAGACAGTTTGATGGTACATTTTCCATTCTTTAGTTACAATATTTTATATAGGTTGCTTTTAATCAACTATCATTTTAGTTACTGTATGCACTGAAGACATGTGTAAACAGGTAGCTATTGTAATAAAATACAAACAAGTTAGAGATTTCTCTTTTCTTCTCAAATCACTAACAGCAGTAGACAGTAGAAGGGCACTCTTTTATGGCAGCCAAAAGATAAAGGGCGATCACAATGGCAAAATATTTACCTGCACAAACAGAGCAATAATAGCTATCCCGTGCTTCTTCCCCACTGCCTCATCAATGCTGCTGTACAGGGTAGAGTTCCAGTGGATTAGATGGAGCTAAAACAAAATGACACAAACAATGTCATCAACAGGTAAATGTTGGACCTGATAGGCAGGAAGGTGATTTAGCTAACAAAGACAGTAGATATAAAACATGGACTCCCATGATGGTCATTATAAGTCCAGTGAGAAAGAAGATACTGTTCCTAACCTCCCCTCTTATTTTAACCACAGAAAGGATGCCTTGCATTCGGCTGTGAACAAGTATCTATGACAAAGGCATGGATCACTGTGTTACAAATTGTGTACTTACTCCCTCATTTTAAGGCACTGAAATAAACTCTGCAAACTCAGTTGCCTGAGGCATTACCAGCTCACTCTTTTCTAAGCTTCAGATTCATACATGCCATGTTGGAGCCTGGCTGTGGGCATGGATTTTCCTAAGTTTCATTTTGATTGCCTGGCAGTGCCTTTTTGATAGCACATATCTCATGAACTACCACTGCAATGGTGAACAGCTGAGATCCCATCACTGAAAAACAACGCCCCTCCATGCTCATTGAATGTAATGGGTGGAGGAAAGGTTGAATGAGGAAAAGGTAAACACAGGCAGAAAGACTGGGGAGAACGGAGACAGGTAGCATGCACATGCAAGGGATGAAGGTACTAGGGGATAATAAGTGTGTATTAAACTGCCTCCCCCTTCCCCCCCAAAAAAAATGTCAATAAATCCTGTGGATATGCGGCCACTTTTCAGCTTCTCTAAATTGGGGCTTGAATTCGTCAATGAACATGTGATTGGGAAGCAACAGTCACTGCTTATTCTGGCAAACTAGTACTGCTGCCTAGCAAGAGTTGAGAATCCCATTCCTAGAAGCAACCTGTTAATGAAAATAAAGAAAGGGAAAGGCTGACTGCTTTATATAGAGAATGGCAATATGCATTTCAAACAGCCGTTTCCAGCACTAATGATAAGTTATCTCCATGGCTGTAGCGAATAGCATTGCAGAGATTTCCCCCACTCAAGCATATCTGCTTTTAAGTTTATCTAGGAGCAGTTCTGGTGCATTCCAGGCAGATAAAACAGCTACAGAAAACGAAATTTAATTCCCTGTTGTAACAGTTCAAAACATTGATCATTCGATTTTACGTGTCTGAGGGGTGAAAATGTCACTTGCTTATCTAGCATTTTTCCCAGTTTCACAAAATTAGTGGGTTTTTTAAATAGAATTTTTCTCTGTCTGGCATCCCCAAGCAGTGATGACTGCCCTCCGCTCCCAGAGAATTCCTTTAGATTGATCAGCTTCTGACATGATTAGGCCCTGAGGCTGCTTCCTCAGGCCTGATTCTCGCTCAGATAGGAACCAGACATACAAATCTGATTATCGTTCTTTCACAAACATTCAATAAAGGATTTGAAATGTACTGTTGCAAATCAAATTAACGTATTAGATCAGTCTGTTCATTCTGAACGCAAATACTTGACATGATAAAGAAAACTCCAAGATCAGTTTCAGTTAGAAAGTCCACTTGCATCAACAGCAGTGAAAGTAACTCAAAATTTCTTACACATACTATCCTATTGTAACCGGGGGTCCCTGCCAGTTCTTTAAATAGCTCCTTGCTGGCTTTTGACACAGCTCAGTCAGCTCTTGTCGGAGCTGTACACCAGGGTGAACTTGTTTACTTTCACCTCCAGCAGTGCTAATATAAAAGGCACTTACCATAGCTGTAGAAGTTATAGGTAAATTACCAGTTAAAACAAGGCACAGAATTAAGTCACTAGTCTTGCTGACTGTGTTCATCTTTTCCCCATTTAGCCTTCCCCAATCCCAGTATTCCCTGTAAACTGAGTGCCTAGGCAGCCACTGAAGAGAGATTCACATGCCACCCAGCTGATTAGCAGAGTACCCACATGCCCACACCCAACAGCATAGCATGTGTTTCTACTGGTGGTGCATACCTGTATATACTTCAGAGCACATAACAAAATTTATTCCACACATGAATGGAAAAAATTAGAGAAAACATTGCCCAATCTATTACATTCAATGAGCGGGGCAGAGGAGGTATTGTTTTTCAGCGACGAGTTCCCAGCAGTTCACTACTACAGCGGTAGTTCATGATATATGTGCTATCAAAAAAACATTCCTAAAGCCTTAAAGCCATAAGTTATCAAAAGTTGTGCATTCATAAAGCCTTAATTAGGAGCAAAACAGTCTATTTAACATCTTTTGCAACTTTGCTTTTTTCAATACATTTGAAACTTTCACAAAATGACCTTTATTTCCATTTTCATTTTTAATATTAAATGATTCTTTAAAGAGTAAAACAAGATCAAATAAGGACAATTTAGTGACTAACACTGTCTCTTGGAAAATATTGAACTAATGTAATCCAATTCGTTTAGAAGGCAAAGTAATACTTCAAGTCAAACTATTTGTCCAAAAATCTACATTATTTGCATAGGCTGGAATTTGCAGATATTACATTAGCCACTAGAGGGGGCTCATATCATCCTGTGAACATAACCCTGAAATTAATAAGGAAAAATCTGCTTCCTCCAAAGAGGTCTATTCAGACACCCAAAAAAGAATAACATTCTGGTGATGTAATTGTCATGGCAATGTCCTTGGTACTGCACAAAACAATGCCCCGTACCACTGCTATTAATTTTGTTTTAAATGTCAGTGTAAACTTTTCCTTCTGTGACCGTAACAATGGTCTTGAACATTAGAGAGCCCATTACTTTGACTAAGTCAACAGGCAGATCTGAGCTAAAGCCACCATGACACTGAGTGCGTTGTTATGTTCAAAGAGGTAACATTTGTAACCTGACATTTTTCTGCATCTGACAGCAATGTTACAGCAAGTTGTTTTCTGAAGTTCTAAAAGGAAAACACCTGACTTGATATTTTCTTCAATGAGAAGGGAGAATGTATAAGGCTCATACAAATTAAATAAATTACACATTATCAGCACCCTTTGCCTATTAGGAGGCAGAGTACCCTAATACCAGGGCCCTAAACGAGGGAATAGTAGAAATGGGTCTTGTCTCTAAAGCTGACCCACTGAAGGTCAAATTGCTTCACTTCTCTGTGCTTTCCCCAGTTTGTCTCTCCTCTCTATTTAGATTTGAAGACTGTGATTGAGACTGTGTACTTAATATTGTGAGTTCCTATGTTGCCTAATACAGTGGGGATCCAACTCTGTGTGATGCTGCTGATAATTGTGGTTCCCTTATTAAGAAAATCATTAGTAGTCAAATTTTGCTGGGGACAGTCTAGAAAGAGAAGCAGAAATAGTGTGAGGTGTATTGTGTGCTACAAAAACTCTGGTGCGGATTTGGGCTGTAAATTGCAACTTACTGATGCTCTGAACTGATGCTCTGACTACCTGTTTCGAGCTAGCACATGCTGCTAACCACAGGATGTATCAGCTAGTTAAAGAGCTTTCACATCCCTATGGCCCACTAACACGTGGAGATGTGGTGCTGTGATCTGGCATGCTAACTGCCCTAAAGTTTTCCAGAAGGGAAGACACTCCATATGCCTTTTCCTCACCTTGTCGATGTACCTTACACTGAGTTTGGCACTATCTCCACAGTAGGAGGTCGAAGGGAGAAATGTTTCCATCAACTTCCCATCAACTGCCAGTGAGATGTACTGGCACCGACAGGGGTGCCCGCAGTGTTCAATTTAGTAAGTCTTTACTTGACCTGCTAAATAAAATGCTGGCAGATTGACCACTGCAGCATTGATCTTCCCACAGGTGGAGACAGGGCCAGAGGTAGCAGTTACTATGAGGGAATAAAAATAGCTGCAGCAGGGAAATAAGAGAGTGGTAAAATAGGATTGAATGAATTAAAAGACTCCTCTCTTTAACAGTGATGAGAGATGGAAGCATATGAGCATTAGTTAGGAACAGACTGGACCTGTTTTTTTTTTTTTTTTTGCATACCCAAAGAGCCTTCCCTCCCTTATGCTCCCTCAGACAGGGGCCAGCTACAGTGAAAGGCTCTGCATTCTCCTGGGTGCATGTGCTGGTCTCTACTAGTAGCTTAGAGTAGCTGGAAAACTATAAGGGGGTAGACAGAATACAAGTTGAAAAAGTTGAAAAACAATTCTGCTCTTATGAAATAATTACTTTCAAACTCTTATTTATTTGTATCTCTTTGTGGGAGGATATTCTTTTGTTTGTTAGCTGCTTGATTTGGTTAGGTAATATGGTAATATGGTTAGGCATATAGAAGTCAGGTGACAGCATGAGATTCAAAAAATTAAAACATCTAAAAGAAAACCCTTTATCAACAAAGATTACACAGTCTGAACTTTAAGGACTATATCTCCAAATTGATAGAACATGTGACTCCTGTCAATATTCATGGGAGTTATATATCCACTTTGGGAGAAACGACCCCAACACTTATGCACTTTTTTATTACAAATATATGATGGATTTGTAAACTTTCCCACCCTACATGAAGCAACTGATATGCTCTATTCTGAGAGTGATGTTAACCTTTTTTCTCCTTATCAAACCAATGCACAATAGTCTGTGAACCTTAATTTTCACTGATGTGAGGCAGCCATATAAAGGGCACATAAAGGTGATATCAGACTGATAGAAATATAACCACAGATCTAGTAGAATAATAGGCAAAAACCACTAGACTGTACTGGCAGCTTGCCATTATGTGGTTTTAAAGCATTCCAAGCAGAAACAGTCTGAGCGTGTCAGTACAACAAAAAAGGTTCTGTTCAAGTTGCTCAGCTAAACTTTTGATTTTCAGTGGTTATGATGTTTTTATTGAGCCAAAATGAGTCAGCTACTCTACTACTGATTAACCTGGCAGGTTTATAGTGCCAGTCGGGTAGGAAGCATTTTCACAAACTATTTATAAAACTAGGAAAAGCTCCTTGTCTGTCAAAGAATAACGTCTTTGCCTTGTAGGAGAAAATAATAATTCAGATGACTTTATTGTAGCTGCATGAAAGGCAAGTTAGGAATGAGCTCCTTTCAAGGTGAACTGAGGTCTTTAAAAAGGTAAATAAATG